AAAATCCGGAGAGGTGTACCACATGTTGGAAGTGATGAGTCTGGATTCAGATTCTCTTTTCTCCCAAATTCGGTTTATTTTCACCATGCCATTATTTTCAGCGAGGATAGGAAAGCGAATACTAAGTTTCTTCAAGTGGTTGAACTACGGTTTTTTCCCTTGCATGTACAGCAAGTATGGCGTATGTGGATATGAAATATTTATTTATGCTGCTTTCGGTTTAGCTCTTTCTTACTCCTCTTTGTGGTATTAGTTTTGATGCGTCTTCCTCAGGGAGGTTTTACTTACTCACACCCTGCATAAGGACGAGGTCAATTTTCCCACTTTTATTTGAAACCCTCAGAAGATCGGATGATTATTTTTACACTGAACATTCATAAGCCTTTTATTTGTGACTGCATTTCGAAAAGAATCAGAGAGCAAAATTAAATTTTTATTGAACCTGACAAAATATGATTCACAGGTTGAAAATTACGTGGAAAATGAAAAATGGATAAAGAGTTAAGAGTCGTTAGCAGCATAATCTGACGAGACTGCAGAAAATACGCTTTATTTGTAGGTGAGACACCCCCTCATATCTGGTTCATCTTTTTATGTAACTATTGTAAGATTCTCAAACCATAGCTCTCTAGGACAAGATTTGCCAGCTCAGATACAGCTTCCCTTTTCACAGTGAGTCAGAGGCTTAGGGTTGAAGTTCGACCTCTAACTTAAAAATTTTTTTTGCAATGTTTTTTTATTTATTTTTGAGACAGAGAGAGAGACAGAGCATGAGCAGGGGAGGGGCAGAGAGAGAGGGAGACACAGAATGCAAAGCAGGCTCCAGGCTCTGAGCTGTCAGCACAGAGCCCGATGCAGGGCTCAAACTCACAGATGCTGAGATCATGACCTGAGGCGAAGTCGGACGCTCAACTGACTGAGCCACCCAGGCGCCCCTAGACCTCCAACTTTAAATCTTTGTGGTTTTGAGTTGCAGTGTGTTTTACCTAAGGCCTTGTGTTCGCGTTGTCTTTACTCGCTGGAAGGGTGGAGATGGGTGTAGCCCCTTACAGAAAGGTCTTTATACGCTCCTCCTACCGGGTGGGAGTGCTTGGGTTTTGCACTCTCTGGCCTTCCGTGCGGCATTTGTGAGCCGCCTGATGCATTTGACACCAGCGTGACAGCAAAGAAGCTTGTGAGCCGAGCGGTGTGCGGTGGGGCCCAGCTGTGTGGATTTATCTGTACATCAGGCCGGGGAGCGGCAGTTAGCCAGATCTGACAGTCGGCCAGGAGCACCCTGTTCGTCCACTCCAGAGTGCATTTTAATGTGTGTGCTCACCGACTGGTTGGCCTTTGACACAGAGAAATTGTCAGAACCGGGTGGTTTGTTTTGCCTCTTTACTCTTTGGTGTGCGGGTCTGTGAGAGTTTCCTCCCCGTATGCTTCATGTGCATCACAAAAATATGCACTTTCTAAAACAGAGTAAAAAAATTCAGGGTATTGTGCCTTTTCACTTTTACGTTAAGAATCAGTAGGCAGTATATTTGAGGTAAGAAGAGGTGATATGTTGAATAGGCCACCTATTTACCTAGTTCAAAAAGCAAAAACAATGCAAATGGACTATTTGGAACAGTCTTGCTTCACCCATGTCCTCTCGTGTTCATTTCCCACCTCTGCCCTGACAGGTAACCACTTGAATAGTTTGTCACGTATCCTTTATGTTTCTGTATGACACACAAGCACATGTCCGGCCCGTTGCCTTTTACTTCCCGAGATATTCTGGAGAGGTTTTTATTTCACTAACAGGCGAACTTCCTCATCCTTGCTTACTGTTGCATTTTATCTCATTGTGTCGATGCACCATAGTTTAGTTAACCATTCTCTGTGGGTGGATCCTTGCTTTATAGCTAATCTTTTTGTTTAGTCGAGCTAGAACATACATATCAAAACACTTATCCTTTTAAAATCTACAATCAAGTGGTTTTTAGTACGTTTCTAAGCTTTTGTTCTACAGATAGAGGTCCAGTGGGTAAACTTGGACATACATTCTTCCGAACCCCACACAAGTACAGTAAAACCTTGGTTTGCGAGCATAATTCGTTCCAGAAACATGCCTGTAATCCAAAGCACTTGTATATCAAAGTGAATTGCAAGAACCATTGGCTCAGTTGTGATCATGTGATGCTTGGTATCACGTACTATTCATACTGTAAGGCATTGCTCATTTATCAAGTTAAAGTTTATTAGAAATGTTTGATTGTTTTGTGGAACTCTTACAGAACAAGTTACTCGCAGTCCAAGGTTTTACTGTATATCCATAGAAAAGTCCTTAGAAGTAGGATTTCTGAGTCAATGGGCAGATGCATTTGAATTTTGATAGGAATTGTCAATTGCCATCCATTGATTGATATTGTACTCATTTGCACTCTTGAATATGAGAGGACTTTTTTTCTCCATAGTCATGCCCAGAGTCACTTTGCCTTTTTATAAAGCAGTGTTAACTTTAAAAGATTTTTTTCATGTTTTATTTATTTTTGAGAGAGAGACAGAGCATGAGGGGGGAGGAGGGGCAGAGAGAGAGGGAGACACAGAATCCGAAGCAGGCCCCAGGTCTGAGCTGTCAGCACAGAGCCTGACACGGGACTTGAACCCGTGAACCGTGAGATCATGACCTGAGGTGCAGTCTGCCACTTAACCAACTGAGCCACCCAGGCGCCCTGCTAAAGCAATCTTAATTTTTTTTTTTTAATGTTTATTTATTTTTGAGACAGAGAGAGACAGAGCATGAACAGGGGAGGGGCAGAGAGAGAGGGAGACACAGAATCTGAACCAGGCTCCAGGCTCTGAGCCGTCAGCACAGAGCCCGACACGGGGCTTGAACTCACGGACCGTGAGATCATGACCTGAGCCGAAGTCGGACGCTTAACCGACCAAGCCACCCAGGCGCCCCAAGAAATCTTAATTTTTAAGGAATGTGTGATGTTCATGAATTACCAGTTGAATCTAATATTAATTCCTGATTGATTTCACCAAGGCAGATAGGACCAGAATTTTTTTTAGGTTGATAAATGTTCTTTTTAATTGATCTCATTAGTTAATTGGTAAAATGGTAGGCTGTGAATGTACAGAGCAGATTTCATATGTGGGGTCTTAAGTTCAGTGATTGCTGGACCTTCATTCTCTCCTGTCATATAGATATGATGATGCTCACAGTATCAAAATTGAAATTTCCAGTGGACGGAGACCATTTATATTCAGCTTGCTCTGTAGTAGGCACATTCCTATAGAATTTACCCTTTTGATACAGTCCTTCCAAATTCTGATGTTTTATACCTGTCTGATACCCTGGACTTCAACTGAGCTGGGAAATTGTTATTTTTATAACAGAGCCAAAGTATTAATTATAAACAGAATTTCAGCTTCCATCAATCCTTGTTGACCTACAGGACAGGTCTATTGCTTTTTAATCTCATTAAGGTAGAATATTTAATTCCTTAGAGGTATTGTGCCTCTGTCCTCGTTCTTATACACAAATTAGCTTCATAGACTCGCCTGCAGAGATCTTAAGGTGGTATTTCCAAGATGGAGTCATTTCAAGGTTTGAGATATCATATGCCTTTGAATTATTCAAGGATTTTAACAATGGGTTAATTTTTTTTTCTTTTTTTGGCATTTAAGTATTCTATCTATAAAAAGGACTGGTAAAAGATTCATAGGAAAATGCAGGCTTTCCTGAGGTTGAAGTGAAAATTGAGGTATGGATTTTGATTAGATCTGTGGTGAAGTCATAAATGTGTAAGTATATGCCTGGAAATATCATTAGTTCTTTCCGTGTCCCAAATAATGGCTAATGTTGAAAATAGATGAACCACTTAACCAATGATTAATCTAATGGTTTGTGTTAGTAGATGGGTTCTTCATAAAGGAAAACTGTTCCTTGTTTAACTGGTAAACCTGTCTTATCATTATGGATGAGAATAAAACCTACAGTCCAAGCAGAAAGCTTTCACTAAATAAATAAGACTAGGGTTTTATATGAGTAAGATTTAGTGTTTTGTTTCTCTTAGATCAACTGGTTGCTATATTTCGATTCCTTTTTTCTTTATTTACCTTGGATAATTTGCAAAAGATCCAAAAAGAATTTAGGTTCTGCCCTACGGGTGTTTTCTCTGGACTACTCTGTGATGGGTTTGTAAGAGACAGCTGCTTTCCTGGGAGAGGGGAGGGTGATAGTCAGGGCCCCCATAGTCTGGTTGAGCAGGTTGGTCACTGCATAAAGATAGTGTCCACTGGAGCAGGTAGGGGCTAAATTCCAGTTAGTGTTCACCAAGCCATGCACTGTGGAATAGGGTTGCAATGACTCAGAGCAAGGTGTGCCCTTTTCTAATTCTTTTTTTAATTTATTTTAATTTGAGAGAGAGAGGGAGAGGGAGAGAGAAAGAATCTTAAGCAGGCTCCACACTCAGTGCAGAGCCCAACGTGGGGCTTGATCCCACGACCCTGGGATCATTACGTGAGCCAAAATCAAGAGTTGGATGCTCAATCGACCGAGCCACCCAGGCAACCCCTCCCCCCGCCCCATTTTCTAATTCTTATAAAGGTGCCGATAACAACCAGAATATGCATTTTATTGCAGTTTTATTTGACAATCTGTTGTTTTTCTTTTCTGTTTTTTTTCCCTTTGAGAAATTTTCTGTAGTATGTAGATAATTCCTATGTGTATGTCTATGTATATACACACACATATAATGCCATTTAAGCATACACACATACACGACACATACCCTCCGTATATATTTGAATATAACATTAGGTATTCTTTGAAAAAATCCTTCAGAAGGAAGGTGTCACCTTATATGTCTTTGATTCTTTATAAAGCACTTTATAATATGGGGTCTTCTCTTAGTTACTTTGTTTGAACAGCGTAGTGCTATTTGGGAAGACATAAAAATGACCTCAGACAGGACTAGCTGTGGATGCTTTACAGACTTTTGCCATAAAATTGGAAAAGAAAAGTGAGGATGCTTTTATTAGTAATTAGTCTAGAGGTGAAAGATTACTTTCAAAAAGTAATACATAAGTAGATATGATATCAAATTAATGTTTATAGGATGAGTACATCTTCCAAATATCTTGACACTGTGTAAATGGATACTATAGTTTGCTTTGGTATTTCCAGTGTTTAGTGTCATAGAAGGATTTTCAGAAAATTCTGTCATTATACAGACAGGAAGATTTGCTTTAGAAAACTGTATTGGATGTCTCAAAAGGTGATTCCGGTGATGAGAAAGACCTTGAGTTGAAGAAATATGTCAAGATTGGTGAATTAAATTGTTTCATGAAATATAAGAGTGAATAAAATCATGATTGCTAAATTAATGCTTTATCCAATGTGTCATTTAAGTGTATGTAATTAAATTAGTACATTAAATAATAGGCATTCAGCTCATTTCTGTCTGTAAAAGTTTACACATTCAGGTTGGCTAAGTTTTCTGGGTATTGTTTTACTGGCAAAACAAGGGATTGTCATATTTTGGTCACTTTATAGTCAATCACCTACAATCATTATTATTTTTGAACAGAAACTGAGGCTTCTTGAGGAGCTTGAAGATACCTGGCTTCCTTATCTGACCCCCAAGGATGATGAATTTTATCAGCAGGTAAGATTTTTTAATATTTGTGTCAATTTGTATTTATTCATTCTGGTCTAAGAAGCAGCTGTGGTCTGGTGAGGTTAAATGAGAAGCGAAATGGTCTGATCTGGTTATGCAGTGACTCCTTATCATCCCCAGAACGTACAGACTCCTTCACGGTCTGCTCTCTGCCGTGAACTTAGGGCTTTAGCACAGTGGACTGTTTTTTCTTCCCCAACGTTCCATGCCTTTTGTACTTCCTTGCCTCTGCTCATTGTGTCTCTTCTGCATAGACTATCCTTTTTGCGTCTTTCTTGTTGCCAGACGGCTAAGTCTTCAAGACTTCACTTAGGGGCGCCTGGGTGGCTCAGTTGGCTAAGCATCCGACTTCGGCTCAAGTCATGATCTCACGGTTCGTGGGTTCGAGCCCCGCGTCGGGCTCTGCGCTGACAGCTCAGAGCCTGGAACCTGCTTCACATTCTGTGTCTCCCTCGCTCTCTGCCCCTTCCCCGCTTGTGTTTCTCTCTCTCTCTCCCTCTCTCTCGCCTACTCTCTCAGAAATAAATAAACATTAAAAAAAAAAAGACTTTGATTAAACATCCCCTTACCTACAAGTAGAGTTGACTTTGCTTTGTTGTTCTGAGCTTCTTGTACCCTGTGAGATACCTCTGTGGTGCCTATCACATTGTGTTGCAGTTACGGGGGCTCTGTGTTTCTCTCCCTGACTTCGTCAGTACTCTTTCAATTACAAGTGACAAAAACCCAAACAAACTCATTGCAGCAAAAAAAGGGAATTTACTGGCCTTCTTAACGTAGAGGCCTTGGAGTGCCCGGCTGAATCCAGCCTCTCAAAAGATGGTATCTGATCACTGCTTTTCTCTGTGCCGTGGTTTGATTCTGCACCCCTTGTGACTTCATGCTGGATGGGCTCTGACCTGCTAGCATAGGAGGACTCTCACAGCCCGAGGGGCGTGTGGTTTGAAGCGCATGGGATCTTAGAAGAAGGCAGTAATTTCTTTTTTTTTTTCCGGGGTCCATCCAGTTCTCCTGGGAGTGATCTCGTTGGCCTGGTTAGAATCCTGTGCCTATTCCTGAACCAGTCACTGTGTTCAGGTGGGTGAGATGCTCCTGTTTGCACAGCCCAGTTCATGCACCCACTCGTGGAGTTGGGCTCAGAGAGGACCATTTCCACTCAAAGTGCATGGGCTGTGAGTCAGAGATGGATGGTTTCCTTAGGGGACGATCGGAGTCCCCGTCCCAAAGAAGGAGGGGAAGGCGTTCTGGGCAGGCACTGATAGTGCACGGTCACCTCTGCTTTCCTCCTAGGATGTAAGCTCTTGGGGGTAAGAATTTGACCCCCTCATCTTTGTTTCTCCAGCATCTAGCGTGCACTTGGATGTGGCTGATTCTCAGTAGCTGCAGAAGGAAGACAGGAAAGATGTTTACCCATCTAGAATCCAGGTCTCTTGACTTCCAGCTCACTGTCCATTCCAGGACGTTATCTATCATCTCCCTTCTCATTAGATCTTCCCTGTCTTTCACCGGATGAGTCCTTTTATGGACTAGTTTTTCCTCCGTGCACCTCTTAATCCTTAGAGCTCTAGCACATATTCTAACCAAGACATCAATCTGCGCAGGCCAACCCCCTGCTTCAAACCGCACGGTGGCTGCTCGCGCGTTGCCTGGGTCTTGCATTTGTAGCCTTATCTCCCCGTCTCTTTCATCTTGTTACGTACGCTGGACTTTTGTCGCAAGCACCTCAGACCAGCTGCGCGGTCTCATGTTTTGGGCCTTCTTGCTCCATCCCCGGCTGACGTCCCTTCGTTGGTGAACTTCTGTTACCTGTGAGTAACGTGTCCTCTCTTGTACGGTGCTTCCCTAACACCTCTGCAGCGCGGAGAATTGTCTCTGCTTCCTGTCGTGTGCACCCGTTGGACTTTACGTGCACCTTTACTACCTCCGTGTATCTCACTGATTTTATTTATATGCTCGTCTCCCTCATCCTTCATGCTTTGTACAGGGCCTGGCACCTAAGTAGGTATTTAAATAATTTGCTTGGCCGGATGAATGAATTAATGCACCAATTAGTTAATTTCAAAAACCAGTCATATCATAACGTTTAGTGTGATTTTAATTTTGTTTTTGTCCATGCACGCTCCTCTCTGGGGAGGCGGGATCTGGAAAGGTCTGCAGGATTTATGCAGAAATGTTCTAGGCCGGCGTGGTAGGGTTTTCGATCCTTTGAGCGTTTCTGGTTTTCCAAACTATCTTGAATGAGCACGTATTCTTTGGTAATCAGAAAAAAAAAAATTATCCAAAGCACTTTCCTTAAAACAAGTAAACCCACAAAATGCAGTCAGTTCTTAAATCCCTATTGCTATTTTCGGAGACATGATTACGCACGTTGCCGTAAAGCAGCTGCTGAGCCTTTCGGCTTTGGCATGGTGCGAGCGGTGCTGGTACACAACGAATTAAACACAAAGGTTATCAGCCGCGGTGCTCGCAGCCAGCCCAACACTGGGGAATAAAAGGAAACTCAGAGGCAAACAGAACAACTACCAAGGTGGCCCTTTTATCTTTCCAAGACTCACAACAAACCCGATAACAGGATCTAATCACTTTAAGTGCGCCTTATAATAAGGGCTAGTGCTTCAGCAGACCCTTCCTAAAGCAAATCTTTTCCCTTAGAAGACGAAGTGTAAGGACATGAATAAACAGAAAGTTCTGACCCGACTCCGGGTCTTTTAAACAGGCCCTGGCCACAAGAATGCCAGTCCAGCTGCCAGTCCCAAAAGCAAGGCTTGCTGTAGCTTCTCTGTTGGGTCCCCTCGTTGACCCCACACCCTTAAGTGGGCCGCGTTCTTGCATTCGGCCCTCACAACCGCCCCGTTCACTTATGCCACAAAAGTGTGTGCAGCAGCTACTCTTCAGGTTTGCGGTGTTGGGGGGGTAGGTATTATCTTTCTCTTTTAGAAATTTCTCTTTAGGGGCGCCTGGGTGGCTGAGTTCAGCCCAGGTCATGAACTTACAGTTTGTGAGTTTGAGCCCCGCATCGGGCTCTGTGCTGACAGCTCAGAGCCTGGAGCCCGCTTGGGATTCTGTGTCTCCCTCTCTCTCTGCCCCTCCCCTGCTCACGCCCTGTCTCGCTTGCTCTCTCTCTCTCTCTCAAAAATAAGTAAAGATTAAAAAAAT